TTGTCTCCCTGCTGAGGCATGGGGAAGGACTTGGACCTCCAGGCACTTCAGCAGGAGGCAAAACTGGGAGGGCATGACTTTGGGGGTGTCTGCTCTGGGATATTCTAATTTCAGTGGGGCCATCGTAACTGTAATGTGTCCCCCGTCTTGTTAAATTACCAATACTTGTGATTTTTTTATGCAGCTGACCTTTGAACAACACAGCTTTGAACTGTGCAGGTCCACTTACATGTGGGTTCTTTTCAATAAATATATTGGAAAGTTTTCTGGAAATTTCCTTACTGCTGTGACACAATCACGTTGATTACACTAGGCTGCCGTAAAACAACCACACTGCTGCTTCTTCGTTACCAACGCATGAATCCTCGTACCTGTAAATAAATACGAATTTCTTTTTCACAATAGCTTCTCGTTTTTGGTATCTAGTGTTAGTAGCGTGTATAACATCTACAAGACAATATTTATGGAGGTGCTGACAGACGATTTGTCTTGTAAACAGATGATAAATACACACAGTCCTGTAAATGTATTTTCTTTTCCTGATGATTTCCTTAATAACATTTTCTTTTCTCCAGCTTACTTTATTGTAAGAGTGCAGCTTATAATACATACAACATACAAACTGTGTGAATCGACTTTATGTTATCGATAAGGCTTTTGGTCAACAGTAGGCTATTATTAGCAGTTACTTTCGGGGGGACTCAAAAGCTATACTCATAGCTCCGACTGTGCGGGTGTCGGTGCCCCTCAATCTGCGTTGTTCAGGGTCAGCTGTGATGACTGTGGTGTTATCACTGAACTGGGTGAGAATCAGCCCCTGTCAAGTGTACTAACAATCTCCATTTCTCAACCCTTCCTCTCAGCCATGGGCCTGGCGGCGCTAGAAGTCATGCAAGCCGTCCAGCGCACGTGGACCAACGCCAAGGTCCGCATGAATGGGAAGACGCGGCTGATGCAGTGGAGGGACATGTTCGACCTCGCAGTGAAGTGGAGACGGTAACTGCGTTAAGGGAGAGTAAACTGCAAGTCCAGTCATTGCCAAGTAATGCAGGTCTCCTCCAGTTGGCGGGCTTTGAATCCTGTGTTATTTACTACCAGTAGGCCTTATCAATTGTTTTCCTGTCTAACATTTTTCAGAAGTTTCTGACATCGTTACTCTTTGAAATATACCCAACTAATATTTTTGAATAAGGAATTGATGGTTATGCTTCCAAGCACATTTGTAATGAAGTTTTAGAAAGCGCAGTCCAATTGAAAGAGCATGCGTGAACGTCTGTGTACATCCCTTTTTAGTTGCAGTGTGTGTCTGGCCGACCAGCCACAGTTTAGAGGGGGCAGCGTTGATTCATTTTCATGAGGAAACTGCTCACCTGGTAAACCTGCGCTGGCTTCTTCCACGGCCCAGTCGGGACATCTGTGTGGACTTTGTGGGTTTGGGTTTCCTCTTTGCAGATGTAATGGTCTGAGCAGTTGCTTTCTTCCCATTTTTGCCAAGACTCCTACAGGTTTTGTTTTTAATGCTGTGAACATTTCTCGGTTGTTTAAGACTGTCACCTTTAATGAGTTGTGCTTCATAGGATCGCCGACCCCGACCAGCCAGTGCTCTGGTTAGACCAGATGCCGGCACGAAGCCTTAGCAGAGGTTTTAACAACCACATCAACCTAATCAGGTATGAGCCCTCCGTGCATCTTTCCTGTTCTCATCAGAGCTTTTCCTAAATAGACAGGTCATGAGACATGAGCAACCCAGTGCTGCTTTCCTGGTGACTTTCTGACGAGGGCCTACACAGGTTAGCTGTGGACCTGCAGCGTCCCACCTGGCTCAGCTGTAGAAAGAAATACAGAACCTGCCAGGCTCAAGCGAGGGGTGGACTGCCAGAGTCCTGCATAGGATGTCGACCTTTAACGGCCCTGCAGCATCACAGAAAGTAATTATATAGAGAACGTTACATTTACCAATTTACCATATATCCTGATGACATTGCTTGGCTGGATCAGTAACACCATCTGGTCCCTAAGCTTCCCGCCTGGGGAGCAGAGACCGCCAGGTTAACTGGAGGGCTTTTCTTTCGTCCAGAGACTCTGCAAGTTAGGGACGTGGGTGAAGTGCTCTGCTCTTTACCCCTCCCATCATGTACTTAGCCGCCCTCTAATAAATGATGAACAAATATGAAAGAATATCAGCTTCAAAGGGACCCACTGAATTTAATTTTACATAAGATTTGCACGTGTGCTAGTTATGTCACATCTAAAATGCTTCTAATTCCAGAAACCCGAATCAAGACAGTATTACTCTATATACATGTACACCTTTGACATTTAAGTTTAATGGAAATGTCACTTATACACTTATTTTTTTTAATTTCTAGAAAATAAATTTCCCTGTGACTTGTACACTTCTGTTTCTCCTGGAATAATTTGTGACATTTATAGATAGACTCAAGTACCTGTAGTTGAAGGCCAGGGTCAGTGCTACATGGTGGTGATAAAGAAGTGTCAGTAAGTGCCGGCCTTAGAAAGCTGTCAGCTTAGCGCAGAAGACGGACCAGTGAACGACTCGGCGTGTTAGGATTTGGTGACCATGTGTGCAGGATGCCAGGGCAAGGCGGAAAAGGAGCTGCCTGAGCTGTTTGGGAAGGTGGAAAGCAGAGAGGGGGGGAGGCATGGCCCACAAGTGAGTCAGCCTGGTCAGAAAGGGACAACTAATTCCTGGTGACTAGTGTGCAGTTAAGGGGTACCAGCAACCAAGGCTCGAAAGGCAGGCAGAGAACAAAATACAAGTAACTTTTTTTTGTTCCGAAAGTATAACTAAATTTCTAGTCCATGATAAGGCATTTTTTGTTTTCTGAGGATGCTGGTAAGCTATTCAGAGACTGTAAAGAGAGGAGTGACATGAGCACATTTGCACGATCAGGTGACCACTTTGGCTGCAGGTTGCAGAGCAGGTTAGAGAAGGCAGTGACCTTGATGACAAAGGAAGTGGTTAGAGAGTTGTGTCGTAATTGAGGTGAAAAAGTAGCAAGGTCTGGAAAGCTCTGTGGGCGTGAGTTGGAGGAAGGGACGAAATGGCTACTGAGAAGGCAGAATGAGCAGCGCTGGTAGGTTAGACACTGGAGAGCATGGAGCCACAGGGAACCGTCCTGTCTCCGGTTCGTGAGTGTCCCAATAGGACAGGCAGCAATGGGACAAAAAGTGGGCAGATGCGTTTGGGGGTGCTGCTAGGAGAGTGAGCAGGAGTGGTTTCCATTTGACAGTTATGAACTTGAGGTTTGGGGGTAGTCCAGGGAGCAGTTGGACGTGAACATCAGCTTGTTGGCTGTATGTGGACTTCTGGAAGAGTAGGCATAGAAGCCTGAGGAAGATGATATTTAGGGTGGGTAGGGGAGATGCAAACTGCTGGTCAGCTAGACAGAAGGAATGAGGATTAGCAGAGAATGCTGTCAGGAGAACCAGGGGAGAGGGGAAGTCACGTTGCCGAAAAAGCGAAGGGATCCACCCATAGGAGGGAACTGGCATCATCGTCTGAGCCTTGCATGAGTGCTTGAGGCCTTTTGGCCCCGTGTGGCATCTCCGGGGCTGAGTGGGCCTTTCCCACCAGATAAGTGCCAGGGGCAAATGAGCCCTCTTGCCATGATAGTTCTCTGTTCATTGGTTGCAAACAGGTGAATTTCCCAAACTTTCTTGCTCTGTTATTCTCAGTCTCTTACTGTTCCTTTGAGTTTACTTGGAAATCAGGTGTTGTTCGGAATGCGCTCCTTTGCAAAGACTATTTCTGTTTTCTTACAGGGGTCAAGTCATTAACATGAGGTACCTCGAATATTTTGAGAAAATTCTTCATTTTATTAAAGACAGAATTCTTGTTTATCATGGGTAAGACTTTAATTTTCTTTTTCATTTTAGTGGGTGGATTTCACATCTTATATGTTAGTTATAATTATGAAACTTGAAAACCAAGCCTCTATAAAACAAAGTACAGTAAAACCTTGGATTGTGAGTAACTTGTTCTGCTAGTGTTCTGCAAGATGAGCAATCATTTCTAATGAATTTTAACATGATAAACGAGCGATGTCTTGCAATACGAGTAGTATGTAACACTGAACATCCCATGATCACAATTGAGCCAATGGTTCTTCTCTCTTTCTCTCTGCGGGATTGTGGGTGATCGTCTCCCATGCTCGGATACTCTGTCTCAGGCCACGGTGTTTGGCAGGAATCAGTGATTTTTCAGAATGTTGGAAGGTGCCCACAACTGGCACTAGTGTATTTTTTGGCACTTCAAAAGCACCTATGGACAGTCCTTTGCTTTTCCATACAAGAGTAAGCTTAGGAATGCTTTGCTTCATTCTAGGTCAGGCTGCCTGCAGATATAGACCCTTTCCTCTGCTGCCTTATTGCCAGTTACATTTAATACAGTACAGGACAAGGGTTTATTAATACTGTACTGTAGTCAACACCCATGCGAGTGTATGCCATGGCCCCCATGAAGAAAAAGGTTGAAAAGAAAGGCGGTAAGAAGAAGGAGATGATTACAGTGGAAGTTAAGAAGGAAATCATCGAGAAGTATGAATGATGTATGTGAGTGGCCGAAATTGCAGGATTTTATAAGAAGTCTACGTCAACCATTTGCACAATATTAAAGAAGAAAGAATAAATAAGGGGGCTAGATGCAGCAAAAGGGGTCACGAGAATATCAAAGTAATGGCCACATGTTCTGGAAGATGTAGAAAAGTTGCTTCTGGTTTGGATAAATTAGAAGCAACTAGCAGGTGATACCGTGACCGACAACATTATCTGTGAGAAGGCAAAGGCCTTGTACACCGACCTCGTAAGTAAACTGCCAGGTAAGTCAACAGAAAACGAAGAAGGCTTCAAGGCAAGCAGGGGATGGTGTGATAACTTTAAGAGGAGANCTGGAGAAGTTCATAAGCAATGGCTGGGGTGCCTTCTGAGCCGCAAACTAGTTATCAGTGTTACCTACAAGCATGTGATAGGCGTGTACACACTCCTGTAAAGACCCTTCTTTTCATTTGTGTGTGGTTGGGTGCAAAGCACTGGCGAGACAATTGTGTGGTCATAGGTTTCTTGATTAGTTTTGCAGTGGAGGAGGTGACTGCTTCAGGTGAGAGTGGATTACCTGATATCTGTTGTAAAAGCCCTTACGGTTCTTTCAGAGACGTGCTACATCAGAATTTTGAGAGTTACAAGCCTGAGGTACAAGACCTGATTTGTGTGGCAGATCGTTTGGGATCACTGATGCAATATGAAACACCTGGTTTCCTGCCAAACAAGAGAATACACAGAGGTATTTTGGCACTATTTTTGACAAAAGGGCAAGGAGCTAAACTGTGTTGTACTTTTTAAAAAAATCGTGTATTGTGCTTACTCAGAATTTCCATGTGATCATAGCAAAGGTATCACTTCATTCATCTGAATTTGGAGAGAAGATGGCCTCCTGCCTTGGCTCGTGTGCGGCTGCCGTGCTGTACATAGATGTAGAATGTAGGTTTGAGGTCATGACCGCAGACCAGGCAGCTCACACAAGGACTTGTCTCCCTGCTGAGGCATGGGGAAGGACTTGGACCTCCAGGCACTTCAGCAGGAGGCAAAACTGGGAGGGCATGACTTTGGGGGTGTCTGCTCTGGGATATTCTAATTTCAGTGGGGCCATCGTAACTGTAATGTGTCCCCCGTCTTGTTAAATTACCAATACTTGTGATTTTTTTATGCAGCTGACCTTTGAACAACACAGCTTTGAACTGTGCAGGTCCACTTACATGTGGGTTCTTTTCAATAAATATATTGGAAAGTTTTCTGGAAATTTCCTTACTGCTGTGACACAATCACGTTGATTACACTAGGCTGCCGTAAAACAACCACACCGCTGCTTCTTCGTTACCAACGCATGAATCCTCGTACCTGTAAATAAATACGAATTTCTTTTTCACAATAGCTTCTCGTTTTTGGTATCTAGTGTTAGTAGCGTGTATAACATCTACAAGACAATATTTATGGAGGTGCTGACAGACGATTTGTCTTGTAAACAGATGATAAATACACACAGTCCTGTAAATGTATTTTCTTTTCCTGATGATTTCCTTAATAACATTTTCTTTTCTCCAGCTTACTTTATTGTAAGAGTGCAGCTTACAATACATACAACATACAAACTGTGTGAATCGACTTTATGTTATCGATAAGGCTTTTGGTCAACAGTAGGCTATTATTAGCAGTTACTTTTGGGGGGACTCAAAAGCTATACTCATAGCTCCGACTGTGCGGGTGTCGGTGCCCCTCACCCTGCGTTGTTCAGGGTCAGCTGTGATGACTGCGGTGTTATCACTGAACTGGGTGAGAATCAGCCCCTGTCAAGTGTACTAACAATCTCCATTTTTCAACCCTTCCTCTCAGCCATGGGCCTGGCGGCGCTAGAAGTCATGCAAGCCGTCCAGCGCACGTGGACCAACGCCAAGGTCCGCATGAATGGGAAGACGCGGCTGATGCAGTGGAGGGACATGTTCGACCTCGCAGTGAAGTGGAGACGGTAACTGCGTTAAGGGAGAGTAAACTGCAAGTCCAGTCATTGCCAAGTAATGCAGGTCTCCTCCAGTTGGCGGGCTTTGAATCCTGTGTTATTTACTACCAGTAGGCCTTATCAATTGTTTTCCTGTCTAACATTTTTCAGAA